TTTGATTTATATTATTTTGGAAGAATATATTTTGGAATAGTAGATTGATGGAGAATGTGTGGTTGAAAAAGAAGGAAAAGTTATTGATGTGATGGAAAATATTATTTTATTGAAGGATGTGTGGTTGAAAATGAAAATTGATTTACTGTAGAAAAATCTAATCCCTCCCAAACATGGCCTTAATAAGATTGATCTTTTAAGTTCAACTCTCAATTATTTAAAGCTAAGGTTTTTTTATAGTCGGCGCTTACTCAAATTTCGGTTTCATGGTCTCTCAATACTTGGATGACTTGCAAGTGTTGTCGAGTGTCCTACAATTTGAGTTTTGAAAAAGGGGTGCTCGCTAAAGCAACTCAACAAGATATGGGTTCAATTCTTGCTATGCTTAGTCCTAAATTCCTAGTAGATGATTGGTGTCGTTGGGAAACTTAAGCTCAATATGTTTACAAAGTTGATGCGTGTACAAGCTCTTGATTGTTTTATACGTAGTGATGACCTCAAATATTGGTTAGCCTGACCACTAATCCCGAGGATAATTTTCCCAACCTTTGTCATCGTCACGTTTTCGTCCTCGAGTATGATGCCTCGGGATAGATTCCTTGGTAGTGGTACTTTCCTCGAGATCATGACTAAACCTAGTACCGTACAACCCCTCAACTTTGTTCGACTCTCGCATATCAAGGCTTATCCAAACCTAAAAGAAAGAGAGTCGTCCTTTTGGTATGTCACTTCATCCTAAAAGGATTCCACCACAAGTATCTTACTTCTATCCAAACACGTGGGACATACGAAACCAATCAAGCTGCAACTTCCAATCATAGTAGAACTCATAGGGGTTCCAACATTGTGATTCTACTAAGATTGTACTACCTATAAATACATTACCCCAATTCATTATTAAGGTATATTTTTATACACAATTTACAGCACATTTTATTTTCATAAATTCTCTCTCTGACTTAAGCATTGGAAGGGCGACGATGACACATCTCGACGCCTTTGTTTCAAGTACCGAAAGATCTCGTTCGTACTTATTCTCAGTCGTCAAGTTCAGACGTCGACATGTACGATTTTTGATAGCATCACTTAGTAAATACTGTACACTAAATTTTTAATCAAAGAATTAATGTTTTAAAAAACGTAAAATGTATTTAGTCGTGGAGATCAATTTCAAACTGTACGAGCTTGATGAAGTTTATGCACGCTTTTTAGACGTATCAAGGTTATGATTGGAAACATTCTTAACCCTATAGTTTAAGCTTTTATGCGCACGCAAATGCGATTTTAACCCATGAATCCGTGGTTGATGATCACTCAATTTTGGTACCGTCACGTTCCTCGAAAATAGTATCCACTAAAAAAAAAAGCATTAATGTCACAATTAACGACCCATGACCGATTAGAATAGCATTATCAATGGACGTTACAAATTGGAATCTGCCTAAACCAAAATTAATGATGTAGTTCTAGTGACACGTCCCCTAAAGGACAGTGACGTGGATCCTACGTCACAGCCGTTGACGTTATAACCCCCACCCCAACTCCCACCATGCAAAACCCATTATATAATCCCACTACTGCCCCAGTATTCAATTCCCCCTTCTTCTTCCCACTCCACCCCACTCCACCACACCCCACATGCAACAAGCAATCCCATACACAAATTTGCCTCCCACCACCACCTCTAACGGTGGCGCCACCACTCATGTTGTGGAGGTGCCAAAATTGGTGGCGGAGAATGCAGTGGTGGTTTTTGCTAGAAGTGGATGTTGTATGTGCCATGTTGTGAAGCTTCTGCTACACGGGCATGGAGTCAACCCCACTATTTTTGACGTTGATGAACAAAATGAAGCTACCGTTACCGGAGAACTGTCTAAGATTATTGGTACAGGTGAAACAAACGCCGCCGGCAGGCCGCAGCTTCCGACGGTTTTTGTGGGCGGAAAACTATTTGGAGGGCTAGAAGAAGTCATGGCTGCTCATATTTCCGGTGAATTGGTGCCTGTGTTAAGAAAAGCGAGAGCTCTTTGGCTTTGACCGAGTCGTTAATTCAACAAATTCTGATGAAGGGCTGCAGTTTTACTTTAACTTCTTTATATATCAGTATTTGTTTCATGATTCGACGGTCAATAGCTTGTTGATAAATTTTTGGCTTGATTTTATACATGTTAAAGTTTCATATGGTTCGATGTTTTATACCTTAGACAGACCACCTCAACCCAACCCAACCCACCATCCATATTCTATTCTACAATTTCACCATTGATATATATGCTTGGATCCCTCTAAATCCGATGATTATTGCTAACGTGTAAAGTTTTAGGAAATGACTCCAGCTATGCGTTGAAATTTTATATTGACATCAGAATTAACCAGCTTGTACATTGATTTGAATAGATCTGTCAAATTGCATTAAGGATTTGATCTTGAAAATATTTTCTTGATCTTCTAGAATGAAATTTCAAAGTTCAAAATGATTAAACCCTGTTTGGTAAAGATTAAAATTAAAATTTCAGTGAATTTTGATAAAAATTAATGACATGCGAAAGTTGTGATTCCTTTGATATATACGTTTAAAATTAATTATTAATTTTGATTTCAATTTTAATCGAATTTTTTTAGTTGTACCAAACATGGGCTAAATGAATAATTTAATTGGTCTAAAACTTAAATGAGCCTTCCGTTTTTTAGATTGAATCACACACGCAGATGTATACTTTCGTACCATTTAAATTAAAAAATTCATAAAATTTGAATGATAAAAAAAAATTTTAAAAAATCATAAAGAATTCGAGATAACCCTGAATTTGCCCTCTAATCACACTTGTTAAGGGGTTAATTATTTGTTTCTTAACGCATCAAACCACGTCTTTGCCGGACATTCATGGTTTATGTGCATTCTTTTCAAAGTCTCCAAAGTCTTCCCATTTCTAGTCAACCCTTTTAAATAAATGAAATTTAGCCAGTTAATGTCATGTAATTGACACATAGATTGGGGTTCAACTCAATGAGGATGAATATCATTTCTCCATTTTAATTCCTTTATTCAATTCTAATTGTACAAATTTAAGGCGAATTAATTTTCCACTGCCCCTCTTCATGTGCCTTTCAACATTTCTCTATTAATTTTCTCGAGGACCGTGACACAAATTGAAGTGAAATTTTGAAAGAAAATACAATATAAGTGCTTATATAACTTCGTTTATTTCAACATTGGAGGCTTTCTCGTGGGAGGAAAAAACTCTAATGGGTCATAGTTTCTTGAACAAATTACTTTTAACCTAAATTAAATATGCCAACATATGAAAGTATTCTATGACTAATTTTATGGTGACGAAGTGAGACCAACATCCATGGTGACATAATTTGGCCGGTCTTCTTAAATTTTGTACTCATTATAGACTATTCAATTCCTAAAAGTTGCATTAGACCAAATCATTTTCTTAGTGATTAACCATTAATCTGGTACAATTAGGCAATCGAACTGTGACATCAATGTGACGTCCGATGATGCTTGCCCAAGTCAACTACATGGGACATATTATTACGAATCATGATGATAAATGATAATGCAGTTGGGAAGGCTGTTGACCATTCAATGTGTGCTTACGTGGCAATCACTAGTGGGGGAAAAAAAAAATGCTATCTTATGTACCAACCCCATCAGTGGCCATTTTCGCCTACCTTATCGTTAATGAGAAGGGTAATTGGCGCAAAACGTTCCTACCTATGATGGGTTGTGTGGAAAACGTCCATACGTATGATTTTTTG